CACTACAGCAGCTTACATCCAGCAGCTTGCAGTTGAGTCTTCTGAGAACTGCCTTGTAGCTGCTTTTCAATATTTTTTTTATTTTCCAAGAGCATCCCTACAAGATGGCTTTCTTAACAGAAAATGGTAAATGGTAAAAGCTGCCATAGACCCTCAGTTGAAAAATAGAGTGTAAAGTAGTTCAGCCTTCCTAGATTTTAATGCAGAGTTATAGTCTGCCTGCAATTGCCAGAAATTGACTCTGCAGGGAGAAGATAAGACTCTCTGCGGGTGATTGCAGAAAGGGATACTTCAGTGTTGAGGGGGTTTTTAATTGACCTATAAACTGCTTACTTCTGCCAGCACTCTGGAGCCAAGGAATGATCCTGTCAAAAGATAAGACCCTCCTTCTCTGTTGTGAATTTAGGAGCTGTCCTAAACTCTCCTGTCCTTTCACCCCAGGCTTGGGAGTAACCATTCCTGGCGTTGATTTAGGTATCACCTGTCATCTTCACTTTCTTGTTGTTATAACACTGGCTATGGGGGTTATGCTCAAGATGGAAAAAAGCTACTGGAAGTGTGTTCCGGCACTTCTGTACCCCATAAGTGATCGTACTGAAAGTGCCAGAATGGTGGTCTAGCTCCCAAAGAAGTGCTAGGATGGTGTTCCAGAGTGTTCCAGCACCATTCGAGCCTTGCATTGGAGTCTGGGATTTCCAGGTTAGGGAACTCTTAACAGTTTGAGGAGGGTTCTTGTCTTTTCATGCAGTCGTTCACAACCTAGTTTCTCCTGTCACTGGAGACATAAAACAATGAGCCTGCCCCACTATTAGTGAGTGAGCAGACTCTTCTTCTCAAGTGGGCTTCAGTTAAGGAATCACATTTAGCAATGTTATTGTCCAACTCAGTGCCAGTTCAATATCTTCAAAAAGGCGCCTCACAGTATTAGCAACATTCCACTGAGAAACCCTACCACACGCTAAGCTCCCTGGGTTTGGTTTCTGTCATCTTTCTGGTTAGGATGAAAATCCTTTCTAGTTTGGGGTAATATGACAAATCTTCACAACGTCTCTGAGGCTTTTTCATGACCGTACAACATGAAGTTGCACAAGATGAGAGGAAGGCATTCAAAAGTGGATCTCACCAGATCTGGGCTGGATCCCAATGACTTCATTGAGGTCAGGGGACTTCCCTTTAAAGAGTGCCCATCCTCTTCTAAACGCTCTGTGGACAGTTCCTTTCTGTTGTCCAAGAGTTTGGGTGTAAACGCTGTCTGTAGAGTATTTTGAACAGGTTGGATACCTGTTGTAATAAGCATGGATGCTTTGAAGTGACTGTGGAGGCACTAATTGATTTGGGTTTCTGGTGGTGAGCTGAGATGACACTATTCAAGCCCTGAGGTGAGTTTTTTTCCAGAGGAGAAGGCTTCGGAGTGCAGACAAGAAAGCAAGCAGACAAGTCCCAGAAGTTTAAAAAAAAATGCTACCATTTATTCAGGTCATTTTAGAGAGAGGAAAGTCCAAGGATCAAATGCTTTGAGGAATAGATGCTGTATCAGCCTTTTCCCTGTAAAGGGTTAAGAAGCTCAGGTAACCTGGCTGGCATCTGACCTAAAGGACCAATAAGGGGACAAGATACTTTCAAATCTTGGTGGGGGAAGGCTTTTGTTTGGGAGTGCGTTCGCTCTTGGGACTGAGAGGGACCAGACATCAATCCAGGTTCTCCACATCTTTCTAAACAAGTCTCTCCTATTTTAAACTTGTAAGTAAATAGCCAGGCAAGGTGTCTTAGTTTTATTTTGTTTAATAGACTTGTTAAGCTACCTTTTACTAGAATGTTTCTGTTTGATT